AGGAGAAATAAAATGTGTAAGTCTCCAGAAGGTGCTAAGTTTTCTCTTTATTCACAATTCTTCTAATCGGTGTTACAGTCAGAGCAGTACTTAAGCTTAGTCAAATGTATGATGGGTCTCATTTATTTGATTCATACATTCTTACCATCTTTTCTCTCCAGCCCTGTGACCAACCTTGTGCTTCATCTCACTGTTGCCTGGATACTTGCAGCCTGAGTGCTGACAAACTTCTTCAAGATGAAAAATTTGCTTTTGTGAAAACTCTACAATTATATCCCCAAGGAGGTTTCTCACCACCAGAGGGGCCCTGGAGCAAAGTTGAGTACTCTCTGGCAGGTTGTAAATTTTGCATATGGCACTAGCAGAAAGAAGAAGGGACAGCAGCAAATGTCAGGACCACATGGTTTCCAGTTAGATTGTAGTCAATATGATATTTGTATGATACACTGTATTCTCTGTTCAAAGATGTTCTTGAGAGAGAAGAAATGTTACATGTTTCTTTTGTGACAGGTGATGGATAATCAAGGGGGAAACTGGGGTGGAAAATCAGTTTTGGATTTGAGTGTTGTTAGATAGAAGCTAGAATTGTGATCGTTTATGTTGGTAGCACCATCTTAACAGAGTGGATATATGTTTTTCTGTCTCACTTTTTGGTGGATGACAGAAAATGATGTTCAAACCTGATATGTATGTGTTATGGACATTTCTATATTTTTTAAAGAACACTCTGTAAATAATAGAGTTGAAATATACACCCTGAAAATATGAAATTAACTCAGTGAGTAGGTTAATTCATCTATTTTAGGATATTACTAATTAAATATAGAGAAAGATGTAGCTTTCATAGATGAAACCCAATAACAATTAGATTTTTATAATGGTGCCATCTGTCCCTGGTTTTTTTTTTTTTTTTGGAGAATTTTATTCATGTGTGTGGATCTTCCTTCATAGGGTAGAGAGAGAACTGAACTGGGAGTGTTGTGCTTTAGGTGCCATCTCTATTCTTGCTCTTAATCAAATGGCTTTAGGTAGATCACTGTGTTTTTCTTACTCGATTTTCTTATCTGCACAATGAAGAGACTGAATTAGACAACTTCTTTATTTTCTTTTACTTCTTAGGATGTAATTAATTCTCTGCTTCATTTGGGCCATAGACTCTTGTCAACATTCCTTTTCTTTCCTTTTGATCCTCTGAAATGCTGTTTTCTCTTGACATGACTCATTAAAATTAAATTATTTGACTTCAAGTTCATCATCTCTCATTCCTTTTGTTTCCAGTCATTTTGCCCTCAGTGTTAGCATCTTGGCTGCATAGAATTTGAAGATGCATAGGTTAGAGTCGCACCTCTTATCCAAAATATCTGTGACAGTCATCATCCTGATTCCTCTTGTTCCTCTACAGGAAAAGAAAGCCTGTGATTTCCAAAGCTCGAGGCATTTATGCTGGCTTAATTTTAGTTGTGTCAAATAGGACTGAAGTCTTGTATGAGTCTCTGACACATTAGATTTAATTAAGAATGCCATCATTCTACTATTTTTAAACCCATTTCTTTGTTTAATATAATAGGCTTATTGCCCCTACCTAAGTGTATCACACAACCATTCTAACTGAAGATTATGAATCATTATGATTTCATCAAGTTTGAAGAGAAGGAAGGAATCAGTGGTGGTATGAAGCAATGCCAAAAAAACAAAAATCGCAGAAAAACATATTTCTGTTTTTAACATTCGTGAAAGTGTTACATGTACAATCTTGCTTCAGAGTGAAGGAGGGAGGGAGAGAGGGGACCGGCTTAGCAATGATGATGTGCTGCACATTATAATGACAAGGAGAGTGATGTCCCAGTCTGCTCTGAAGAGTCCATTTGGAGTGAGAGGTCTACTTCTAACATGACTGTGTCCATATGAAACAAATGCATCACGTGACTTTGCCTGACATCATTTTCCCTGCTTCACTGCAATTGTCTGGAGACCATGGAATGAGATGCTGTTAAGTCATAAGCCCACAGATATGTACGAGTGTTTAGCCAAGGCAAGGTTGGCAGCTTGGAAAGTTGTTTTATGACAAATACTAGGTTCATCTTGGCCTTTTTGAGAAAAGTTCCTTCAACACAGTGAATGATTCTGGGTTTCCCTAGGAAATGAAAGTTCAACAGTGGTGTATACACATGAGCAGTGGTCAAACTCTTGATTAAAAAAACTTTGAAAAAAACCCAATGGCTATCCTGAGACTGCTCTTAGTCCGGGAGTTGGTAGGAATAGAATTCCCTCATGTACACACAGACGCCTTATGGGGCTGCTGCATGAAGATGGGACACGACTAATGCTTGTTCACCATTTTGGCTGTACGTTTTCTACTTAAAATACATCATTTGATCTTCAACCTTCTTGTACTCTTTGAATCAGACTGTTTCAAATAATAACATAAGTGAACTATTAATAGTATAATCTATTTTTAAAAAATATTTATTTTATTTATTTATTTTTGGCTGTGTTGGGTTTTTGTTGCTGCGCGCGGGATTTCTCTAGTTGTTGTGAGAGGGGGTTACTCTTCATTGAGGTGTGCAGTCTTCTCATTGCAGTGGCTTCTCTTGTTGCGGTGCATGGGCTCTGGGTGCGTGGGCTTCAGTAGTTGTGGCACACGGGTTCAGTAGATGTGGCTCATGGGCTTTAGAGCACAGGCTGAGTTGTTGTGATGCACGGGCTTTGTTGCTCCCCAGCATATGGGATCTTCCTGGACCAGGGCTCAAACCCATATCCCCTGAATTGGCAGGTGGATTTTTAACAACTGCACCACCAGGCAAGCCCAATAGCATAATCTTAATGTTAAGATCCCAGGCCCAATGTCTGAAGACATTCATCTTCTTTTCTCCACAACATCTATTTATATGCATTAAAATGCATATCAATAAATGGAAACAAAAATTGAAATTCAGAGGGAGAGGTCATGGAAGGCTGCAGTTTTTAAATATTGGGCCTTGAAAATGACAAACAGAGAGGAATAAATAGGACAAGGGTATCAGTGTCCTTAGCTTCTGATTTATTTCAAATTCAGCTGACTTGGGAGCATGATCCTGTTCTTCTTAGTCTACATTTGTCCCACAAATGTTTCCTGTGTTTAAAAAAATGGGAGGCATCTTGGCTGTGTATGTGTGGGGGAGGGTGGTGGAGAATAGCATTTCCAGAGTGTTTTCTTTTCTGCCTTTCAGTGTTTTACAATCCGTGTTATGGTTATTAAGGGCTGATATGCCAATCTCATTTGTTCTTGAAGTGAACTATTTAGAATGTTCATCTTAATAGTTCAATAGATTTTTTTTGGCCACCCCACCTAGTTATTACCCCAAATAAGTATCCCAAGTAAACGCATATGGAATAATTGCAGACAACTGTTTTCAGCAGTCCCTTTTATGTATAAAACAGATATTTTACTCTGTCACAAATTTTCTACTGACGTGTATTTAAAAATTTTCATCTCTAGTGAATATTTTAATTGTTATAAAGTGAAGAATTCAAAATCGATGTATGATTTGATTTTTGTCAGAGTTAAACAAAGGCCTGTATATGACTCATTGGGTTGTTCTATTCTTTGAGAGACTTAAAATTAAGAGTTTGGAGAAAAACTAGAGATTTGGATTATTTCCAGCCAAAGATTAAAATGTTTTTGTTGCTGTAATATATTGATTTTGGGCATGTGATGTCCATAAATGGGAAAAGGAAAGAATAAAGAATCTTTAACCCTCAATTTGAAACTGTATGGACCATTTACCACTAGGCTGATAAGAATTTTATTACCAGGATGTGGATCTGCTTAGAAGGAAGCAGCTGGTAAGGTTTACCAACTTCAGACCTTCATCAACCTGTTTTCAGCCTCTGGGCATTTAATTCCAATTTTCTCTACTTCAGAGGTCTCTCTAAGCCGAGACTCAGATTGAGAAGTTTCTACTCTGGAACTTTTGCCATCTGGAACAGACACTTTGCATTTTCATCCCTTGCTCCAAATCTCAGCTGGGATCAATCAACTCTCCCTTATTTTATGTCCCTTATCTTCCTGTGTGTGTTGAACAAGTTCCCACAACTCAGCAAATGACCCCAACTTGAGTCAGGCCTGTGTGCTTTGAAGGGAGCCAGTCTAGCACCAGCCCTGACCCAGAGGTCCTGGGTGAAACTGCTAGACAGTTTAGGGCTTCTCCTTGGGAAGCACTCCTCACTCCATACTTTTGGGAAGTTAGTTAATAGGACAAAATTTACTTAATAGGAATTAATGAAAAGGTTTTGTAAAACCAAGAGTTCTGCTATGTTCCAGGCCTCCCGGGAGCCCTCTGGTTATTCAGACATTAGAGGAAGATGTACCTGCTTTACTCTGAGCCTGCCGATGGTACTTCTGCTTCTGTCCTTTGTCACACACTCAACTCTTAGATTTCCTCTGATTTTGAACACACTTTCAGCTTTTCCTTCCCAAGGTCATCCTGGGTCTGCTCCTGTTGTGTATTTCTTGGCCATTCCAGGTCCCTGCATATTTCATAGGGATATTCTTGGCTTTTGCTGGTGAAGACATTCACTTCCTGCCTAGCTGCACACATATCCCTCTTCCACCCGCCTCCTGGAGCCTCAAGTCCTGAAACAGCATTTCAAAAGTGCCATCTGGCAATATTTTTCCCTCTTCTTTTTTTTCTGGCTACAGATCATAAAAATTTACTGTTTATTCCATTTGCAATCCCTCTTCTCTATAGTAGTGCTTCTCCACGAATGTGCATATGCATCACCTGGTGAAGTTGGTGAGAAGCAGATTCTGAATCTATCGGTCTGGCCTGGGCTCCACAGTCTTCCCTGGTGGGGCAGGTGCTGCTGGTCCCGGGATCACACTAAGAGTAGCAAGGCTTTATAGTTCTTGATTTTCATTTGTTGGAGGCTTACTAGGCTTCCAGGGCTGCCATAACAGAGTGCCACCTCCTCAGTGACTCAAAACAACAGAAATTTATTCTTCCACAGATCTGGAGGGTAGAAGTCCAAAATCAAAATGTCTACAGGGCTTTGCTCCCACTGAAAACTGTAGAGGAATGTTTTCCTGTTTCCTCTTAGCTTCTGGTGATTTTCTGGCAATTTCTGGTGTTCCTGTGCTTGTAGATGCATCATTCCAGTCAGATGGTCCCCTTCTCCTGATGCGTCTTCACATTGTCTTCCCTCTACCTGCCTCTGTGCCCACATTTCCCTTTTTATAAGGACACAAATCATATTGGAGTAGATCCTACCTTAAGGACCTCATTTTATCTTGATTAACTTTATGAAGATTTTATTTGCAAGTAAGCTTACATTCTGAGGTATGAGGGTTAGGATTTCAACGTATTTTGGGGGGAGCCAAAATTCAACCCATAAGAGAGGCCTACCCTCCCACCCCTAGCTAACTTTATGTTATTTTTTTCTTAAATAGAATTCACTACTTTGATCAATAACTAAAACATGAGAAACTAAGTATCTTTAATTTAGAGTGGGCCAAGAAATGTGTAGATCTGGAGTCACTGAGAAAGATACAGTACAGTAGGGATATTTAAAAAGAAAAAAAAGGAGCCCTGGTGCTCTGTTCTTTTAGGTTTAACAGTGGGAGAAAGCATGGACTTTTGAGTAGGCCAGTTCTAAAATTTGAATCTTGACCTGTCACTTATTGGTTCTGGATCTGGGGGGCAACCTACTTGCTTCTGCTAAACTTGTTTCCTCATAAGAAGAATGAGCATAATGACACTTGGTAAATAAAGGATGGTTGAGGAAATCAATAAGGCTTCCAAAGCATCTGGCACGTATCAATAGTAGACATTGAGTATATGGATCATGAGTTTTGTAAAGTCTGTATTCTGAATATCCCAGCAGAACTGTCAGTGGCACCCAGCCAGGTCATCCAGTGGACCCCCCAGGGCTGCCAGATCAGCTTGCAGTAAGTCACTGCCTTTCTCTCTCCTCCCTAAACCACAACAGTGATTCAGAAGTGCAAAAATGAAAAAGGGACTACACTTCATTGTGTTTCTGTGTGATTTTCCATCATGGATCTAAAATGTTGTTTTCTCCCATGTTCCTATATTTCAATGTATATCATAATTTTCCTTGTTGCATTCACTTTTTTTTTATAAATAATTTTCCCTAAGTGGATGCTGTGTAAAGATATTTCCATCCTTTGGTTATTGTTTGTGTATAAAGATGGACATATGAAATGTGGGTGCTTCTAAAAGGAATGTAGCAGAACTCACTTGAATAGAGGCCATTCACTTTGGTGTTTGGATGGAAAATGACATCATCTGTCACTAGTCCGGCATGTGAGCACTCATCATTGGTCATTTATGTTAGATATAAGACTTCCGAAGTAGAGTTTGAATGAAAAATGAGAATAGCTGAGGAGGACATGCTATAGTTGCAAATTCATTTGTTTTCTAGGTCTCTGTGAATCTTATAATGCAAAAGCAGAAAGATCTTCCTTAGGCTAGGTTGAGGTTCCAAGTTGAATTTGGAGCAAGTATCATTCGTCTCTCGTGTGCCAACCACGTTAGAAGCTTACATATCCAAACAGTAGGGTATGAGACAATGGAAAACTTTGTCCTCATGTTTCTGTTAATGTTAAGGCAGATATCATTCCTGAACTGGCCTATTATTATAGGTCCATATAAACTACAGTGAACTAAGAAGACACTTGGTGAGTGTGGGTGAGTTGAATATGCAAACATTACACATACATGTAATGTGCTTACTCCTATATTTCTGTTTTATTTTACAATTGCCAAAGGGGGGGTTTTAAGGAATTTTTTTTAAGGAATAAGGGCAAAACTTTTTCTGGAAGATTATTTGATTCCCCCTCCACCCCACCCAGCAAAACATCTAGTAATGGTGGAGGAGTTTGAAAGACCTTAGAGGAAAGTGGCACTCCAGATGAGAGTTTACTTGAAGTGAAGTGAAACTCAGTTGTTTCACAAGTGAAACAGGCTTGAAGGAACGTGCAGGGCATTCTGAATGCTTGCATCTGGTTTGATTCAAATCGTCTCACATTCGTAGAGTTTCAAATGAAAATAAAGTTCACAGCAAAACGAAATGCTATTTAAACCATGTGAACTGGAGCCAATGAAAAAATTCATCCTTATAACTGCAATGTGTGAAGTTCTGGTTGGTAAGTCATTTTTCAGAGAAGGTATGCAAAATTAAACCAGATACACCTTCATGCTTGGGTTAGTTCTTGGGGTTAAATTAGGTCAACCTTTCTCATCCAGTGTCTCAGAAAACAGTTTCCTCAATTCTCTCTCCTCTAACAACTATTTATGGAGCTCCTACTGTGTGTGAGTTTTTGCCATAGGTGTATTGATGCTACAGCGTTGGTGTGTGTAGCATATGATTCATGCTCTTGAGGAGTTTACACTCTAGTGGTAAAGAAAAAAACACATGTTTTTATGTGGTAGAATAATTTATTGAATACTAATGAAGCTGATAAAAGAGGGGGAGGAAGTAGAATTTGTTGTTCCACTCCTTAGGCTAGAGAGCTAGAAACACATGGTTTCTAGACCGTCCTAGGACTTCTGTGTTGGGGCTAAGGGGATTATCACAGCTATGAAAAGCCTAAACTTGATACTTTGCAGGGTTTGGGGGAGAACTCTATCATGGTCAATCACAAAGTTATCTGGACTTGGCACCTCAAATAAGCATTATCTACCTGTATTAGTCAGGGTTCTCCAGAGAATCAGAACCAACAGGAGATGTATAGGAGAGACAGAAAGAGAGACACAGGGAGAAACACACACACCATACACATGAGTGTGTGCGTGTGCACACACACACACACACACACACGGATTTTAAAAAATTGGTTACATGATTGTGGAGGCTTGGCAAATCCGAAATCTGCAAAGTGGACCAGCAGGATGGAGAGCCAGGGAAGAGTTGCAGTCCAAATCCAAAGACAGTCTCCTGGCAGAATTCCTTCTTGCTCAAGGGAGGTCAGTCTCTGTTCTATTCATGCCTTCAACTGATTGGATGAGGCCCAATCACATTACAGAGAACAATCTGCTTTAGTCAAAGCGCACCAATTTAAATGTTAATCTCCTTCAAAACCACCTTTACAGAAGCATCCAGAAGAGTGTTTGAGCACAGTTATGGGCATTATGACCCAGCCAAGCTGACACATAATTAACCATCACACTGCTATTGACGGTCTGGAGTACACATGGTGAAATGTTGTCTCAGCAAAGATCAGACCCTATGATATACCTAGAAAGAGTCCTGTCTGGTTTCAGAAGAATATTAAGAGGTTTGGACTTACGTTTTCTGGAAGATGGAACCCACAAAAGAAAACGTGGTTACCGGAGACAGTAACATAGAAGTAAAATATTGGTGAGGGTTCTCAGTGCTTAGTACATAGTAGGTACTCAATAAATATTTATTGAATTAATAACTTAATAACTCCCCTGGTTGGAATGTAGCTAGTGTGAGTTAGAAAGAATTTCTCCAAGGGGACACAGATGTTTTGAAAGGCAAAAATCATGCCCGGCACCCAAGCTTACCTACCTGGTGCTTGGGAGAATTAGGGCAAATAGACTCAGCCAGCTTTTGAATGAGTGCTAGGGTTACTATTCTTAATTCAGGATAGAGAACGGGTTCCATCTTGTTCTGGATGGGCTCTGGATCAAAAGTAAATTTTCCCTGTGGGAAGAAAATAGTTGTTTAGTAAAAGAATAGATAAGACTAAAAAACTGAGGTACCTAATTGGTTCATTTTTCCAGTTTCCTCTTTCAGATAGATAGATAGGTCTCTCTGTGCCAAGGGGAAATGCATATTTTGGAAAAGTCAGGGTCCACCTAAGATATTGTGATAGGTATCCTGAGGGGAGAATGGGGAGGGATAGAGAAGTGGGGAGACCTTTGAGAATCAGGTTGGGGTAGGGGAAATGGAGAATTGTCAAGAATTAAAAGAAAATGATAATTAAGTAGTGGTCTCCAGACAGAGCATGGATCCAAGCCCTTCTGGTTGGTTTTTCCCTTAGGTAGGATACCCTAGAGGCTGGATCTCAACCATAGCCTGGGATAAGAGATCCACCAAGCCACCACTGAGTAGAAACCACAGATGTCAGTCATGCCCATGATAGGTAGGAAGTGAGAACCTCCTTTTTCATTTTAGGAATCCAATTAACATCCTGGATTCTGGAGCTGTCCTGAGATGGTAGGGGCTCCAGGACTGTTTGAGATAGACTTTCTTAACATCTTTGTGGATTAGGAACTCTGGAATCATTAAAATTAGATCTAAAGTTTTAAAAAATATTGGATTTAAAGTTTAAAAAATTAAAGTTAAAAAATGGGTCTGTGAACTGAGATTTATAGCTACTATATTTATTAAACTAGTTAGAAAATAAAGTACTGGAGGTAGAGTGACGGACAAAAGGTATCTTTAATCTGAACATCAAGGAAGACTGTGTTAAGAAATTAACATCTGAATTCACCTTGATGACTTGGAAAAATAGGGCAACTCATTATTGCTCATCCTCTCTGGGTAGAAAAATTAGGTCTTTTTCTGCAACCCGAGCTTATGTTCTGTCCTCGTCTGACTTCTTGGAAGCAATAGAGGCCTATAGACCATGCAGCCTTGACCTCATGGTCTCTCATCATCCATCATGTTCACAGTGCTCTGAGGTTGTATACACCAGAGCTCCTACTTTAAGCCCTAAATACAGTTGACATATACAATCTTTGAATTTCTAAAAACACACATTCTCGTTTCTCTCTTTTATTCCTCTTCCATCTACATTCTCCATTTCCTTTTCATTTATCAGTTTATCATGTCTTTATGTAAAAAATATCTCTCCTTTCCAACCTCAACGTCAATTTTTATCAGTCTGAACAACTAGAACTCTAAAGTACACTTAAGTCTTGGCGTGGAAATGAGGTAAGAGGTACATATATTTAAAAAATATATAGTATATTATTACATATACAAAGTTTAAATACACCAAATAATATTTTTTCAGATCACAAAAGAGATAATTTAACAAAAAAAACATGAGGTGGTAAGGGATTCAAATGAAATGGGAGTTGAATGGTCACTGCTGTATTCATAACTTTGAACCATACAGTTTTTAAAATTTATTTTCTTATGTTTTTGAATTTTATTTTTTTTTATACAACAGGTTCTTATTAGTTATCTTTTAATACATATTGGTGTATATATGTCAATCCCAATCTCCCAATTCATCCGACCTCCTCCCTGCCTCACTTTCTCCCCTTGGTGCCCATACATTTGTTCTCTACATCTGTGTGTCTAGTTCTGACTTGCAAGCCGGTTCATCTGTACCATTTTTCTAGATTCCACTTATATGCGTTAATATACAATATTTGTTTTTCTGTTTCTGATTTACTTCACTCTGTATGACAGTCTCTAGGTCCATCCATGTCTCTACAAATGACTGAATTTTGTTGCTTTTTAGGGCTAAGTAATATTCCATTGTATATATGTACCACATCTTATTTATCCATTCATCTGTCAAGGGGCATTTGGGTTGTTTCCATGACCTGGCTATTGTAAATAGTGCTGCAATGAACACTGGGGTGCATGTGTCTTTTTTGAATTATGTTTTTCTCAGGGTATATGCCCAGTAGTGGGATTGTTGGGTCATATGGTAATTCTGTTTTTAGTTTTTTAAGGAAGCTCCATACTGTTCTCCATAGTGGCTGTATCAATTTACATTTCCACCAACAGTGCAAGAGTGTTCCCTTTTCTCTACATCCTCTCCAGCATTTGTTGTTTGTAGATTTTCTGATGATGCCGATTCTACCTGGTGTGAGGTGATACCTCATTGTAGTTTTGATTTGCATTTCTCTAATAATTAGTGATGTTGAGCAGCTTTTCATGAGCCTCTTGGACATCTGTATATCTTCTTTGGAGAAATGTCTATTTAGGTCTTCTGCCCAT